CGAGGAATGTGACGTCACTGTCCTCCGGGAGAGTTTGAGAATGAGGGGAAGCGGCCGCGCTTCTCTCCTCCTCGCTCCGGTTCACCAGCTCGACGGGACGTAGCGAGGAGGAGAGGGAATGGGAATAGTGACGTCGCATGCCTCGTTGGCCGTATTCAATCGCGCACCTATTTTCCAAAATACGACGACCCGTTCGAGATATCGCTGTATGAGTGATGTTTTTGGGTTTTACAGCGTCCCGCCTCTCCGTCCAGCGTTGTTTTGTGAGCTCGAAATTTCGGTTCAGTATCCCTTTAAGACAGTAGACACGTTTGTTTCTTTCTATGTATATATAGTTTCTCCTATCTTACGTACCGTTTCCGGTATCTTCATGGCTCCACGGTCGTCCTTTCCTTCGTTTCTTTCTGTTATCTAAATTATTATCGTATCATTTCTCTCGTCTGCTTCGCTAGTGTGCGCCATGCGAAACCTTGTGTTTATCTTTCCTCGGGTTCGCATTCCGTTACATTCGTAGTAAACCCAGCTGTCCACGCTTCCCTCTGCGCACTGGGGCCGCATTCTTTTCGCCACGTCGTGATGAGGGGTCTGCATGCGAAGCTGGGGAGTCTTCGTGTGTGGCGTCCACGACGTCCTTGGCGCTTCTTCTTCTCCTTGGGCTGACCAGGAAAGCGATTGTTCTGGGGGATCTGCTAGTTTGAAAAGGGCGGACATCTTTCACGCGGACGGAGCAACTCTCGTCGAACCAAGTCCTCTTATCCTTTCGAAACGGTCGGTTTCTCTAGAGCTTGGTACTGCGTCCTCATTCCGTTGTAAGGTCTCGCTAGCCGGCTCATGTCGGATTCTGTCTTCTGCGTTTGGCTTTTGCTGCTACACTCTTGCGGTACATTCTTTTTTTATAATCTGTGACTGGCTGAGCGGCCGTCTAAAACCAAGATACGCGGGTGGCTTATATGTAACTGGCCTTTTTAATCAACCCCTCTGTTGCCGGCTTTTTTTTTTTTTTTTTGTGTGTGTGTGTGCGGTTTGTTTTGTAGACCTTTTTTGTTCCCAGGCGCAGTGCGTTATTCAAGGTTTTCGACGCGTTCAGTCTCCGAAAATGCCTTCTCCGGCCCTTCACTGGGATTTTCACATCTCAATGCTGCATTGTGAATGCGTTCTCTGAGGTACTGCGAGGGAATACACGGAGCTTTGTGAAGAAGTTGATCGTCTGACGCGGTCGCGGAGAGCCACATGCCATGGCGCAGCCGTTTTGTTTCAGGTTCCGTTAATGTTTTTTTACAATTAGTATGCATCAATCATATGTATACCGTGCGTGGAAATTGCCTATTAACGACATTTAAGACTCTTATTGTTCTAAACTTTCTTCCTTTAGTCTGGTTTCCCCTCTTACCTCCACATATCTAGGTGTTCTTTTGGAAAGCTCTTGTCCCTAATTAATTATCCGTGGCTTTTTTATAATTAAGATATTTCCACTTTCCATGGGCTCACTACGTTTTTGTGCAGACTGAAGACCGCTTGACATGGTGTGGTGCGGATTTTTGAAAACGGGCAAAGAAAGGACTTTGCACGTTTAGGGATAGTACTTCTGTATCGTACAGAACCAATCGTCAGTCTGGCTTTGATGTTAAAACTTTGCATCTGCGTCATATTGCCGCGGATGGAAAGGAATCGACAAACGTGAAGCTAAAAATAAAGGATTAATCGGCGAACTTGTGCCAGAAACAAAGGAAAGAATGAGGGTGGAAAAATCAGCAGCCGACGTCGCAGCGTCGGCGTGACAGCCGGCTAAAGCGAGACTGACTCGGCAAGGCCGTGCCTTACGCTCGGCATCTCTACCATTCGGCCTAGAATGTTCGAGAGTCGAGCATTCGGGGTAACAGTAAACACGGATCTTCTAGAAATACGGACAAGAACGAATTACGAATAGTAATGTCCGGTGCCGGGCATCGAACCCCGGACGCTTGCGTGAAATTCATGTGCGTTCTCTCTCGGCCATGCTCGCGGCAATATGTCACTCAGCAAGGGCACTCATGGCTCATGATATGAATTCCGAGTAAAGCGTCATTTGAAAAGCTCAAACTGGGGCGTGCGTGGGAGTTGTGGCCCCTGGGAAGACCTCTTGGCGCACGTGCTGCGTTCATCCAACAGCTGGTGCGTACTCGAACATGTCTGACTCGCTGGCTTCGTCGCCTAATTGAGCAGCGAGGGAGAGGAAATAATGGATGGCTGAGGGTATCTCGCCTCGCTTTCTGTTTGCCGTCGCACTTCCAGTTTGGTGTCGGCCGGTTTATTAAAGGCTCAAGGCACCCACGCTGCGAAAAGAGTGAACGTAATTGTAGCGCATGCTTTTATTTTCTCGCTTTATTCGTGCGCATAGTTTATCTCCACAGTGTCTGCAGTTATTGTGCGAAGTCCACGTCGGACGGCCTCTACCCAGGATTCGCTTGCTGGTTAGATCGCAGCTCATTAGTCCGCAATGGTTGGCTCATAATTTTAAGCGAAACTTCTATACGATCTGTTTGGGAAGTTAGTAAACGTCTGCACTTTGTATGTAGAATTGTAGACACGTGACATGCAAAGCGAGTTTCCTTTTTATTTCGGGGTGGCGCCGGGGTTTGTTTAAAGCGGTCATGAGATGCGTGAGTCATTAGACAGTAACCCTGAGACCAGCTGGCTGAACTGCCTCCGCCTCGATAACCACGTCCTGTTTGACCGTCCTATTTTTGCCCGTGCCGGGGTTGCCGTGTTACTTGGGGTTATAGTGAGATACATGTTCACCTCTTTTGTGGAATAAATGCCGCGTTAACTTAAAATGCAAGGGGGCGCGAGTTAGACCGAATGCGACTACAGCGTTCATAATTTTACGGATTTCTATGGCAACGGGGGTTTAAACCGTTTACAACCGCCATGATGCTGCGCGGCGCGGTCGTAATGGGCGATTCACACACTTGCGTTGAGTTGGACCGAGCGCGACGGTTGCTATGGCAACAGCTACGTCGACTCCAACAAAACCAAGTAAAAACCGGTTTTGTTAAAGCCGACGCAGCTGTTGGCATAGGAACCCTCGCAGTCGGACAGACTCAAGTGTTTGAATCGCCCTTTGTGTTTTGAGGAAGCGGAATCTGGCACTCGCTGCGTCAACCCCAAGCTTCTGTGAGCGGCGACCACGCGTTCCGGTGGACCTCTCTGTAGAATCTTAACTTCACCGCCACCCAAGACGTGCTGCGTTTCCATCACAACTCAGTAACTTCGTGTGAGCCTGCCATGAAGTAGCTGGAAAGTAGTGGCGCTTATTGGTGAACACACGCCCACTTGGCCCCACCTTACTTCTGGCGATGAACCCTCACAAGCAACATTCAAACGACAATTTCGGTCAGCTGGCTCATTATCATTAAAAAAAATACAGGGGGACGCTTAAGCTTCTCCTTAAAGAGTGGAGCGTGATAGCTAAACACATAAATTGCCGCTCGTTCCCAAGCCGTGCAGCGTCTCTGCGTGGCCTAGTCAGTAGCGTGTCTGGCTCGGAACCGTGGGTTCGAATCCCGCATAAAATTCTTCATTTTTTTTTTTTAAGGCAAATGAATCACTTCATGAATTTAAATAATTTTAGACATCTGGCGACCTTTAAATCGCATTTCATGTCATGTTTCATTCCACGCGTGACGTCACTTTTCAGGTGATCGTCGTGGATTTTTTTTTTAAATTCCCGCACGAGGTCATGGGGCTGTGACGTCATGACCCTATCGGCCAATTAGGATTTTGCCATCACGACACCACCGACGCCGGCCTTTCTGCGACACGAACTCCCTAACGCTATGGCGTTAAGAGCGCCATAAATACACATCCGTGACAACGCCAGCGACGCCGATGGCGACTTTCCTGCGACACGAGATGGCGCCTTAGCTAAAAGCGCCATAAAAGCGCAAAACAAAAAAAATGCACAAGGACGAGAAAATGTGGAGGATACAGGGCGCCCTGTATCGTCCACCTCTCGTATTCGTGTGTTTTTGACGCTCTTTAGGTAATCACAAGTGCCGCGTATTATGTGCGTGTTCGCCACGTATGGCGAACATGACCTGTTGAGCCCAAACAACGGCGGATGCAATCGGAGACACCGGGAGCGGAGAGCCGAGCGGCAAGTCAGGGAGAAGCACGGGACGCCTGGAAGCAACAGACTGGGCGCGGTCGCAGACTAGAAAAGACGCTTCTCGTAACACCAACCGATTGTAACCTAAACAGTTAAATACACATATCCTTGCATTATCCTAAATTAACCGGTAGCAGTACATCACAACTAGCAACACCAGAAATGTTTCTTGTCGTCTATTCGTTTTTTTTTTTTTTTTGCTTTGTGCAACGCAATATCTCTCTGAACTTTTGCTATCTGCACGTGGCTCACGCGAAGATAGCAAAACGACCCGAGTCCCCAGTGACTCAAATTTGAAAACTTTTTACTAGCTAACGAGTGACGTATTCAGTTGCTCCTTGAGAAAGTTACGAATAAATGTAAAACTATTTTTTTATTATTATTTAGTAACACGTAAACTATGCGACACTGTTAGCTCGAACACGACGTCGGTACTCTTCCTCCATTTACTCTACAGGCTTTTGCCGGCATCAATATATACAACTTCAGTCAGTACCCTAAGTGACTATTTGCTAACACACTAGTAATTTTGATAATAGCTGTTAAACACTAAGCAAAAGCAGCAAAGAGCTGTACACGGTCCGGCCTTTTTCCCCGTCTGTTGTCTCCCCAAGCTATATCATCTCTCAGTTCGTCAAATCATTCGAAGTATGGATCCTCAACTTTTCATTCCCACAGCTCTGTCAAAAAGGTTCGCCAAAGAAACACGAAGGACTGTTCCAGCTCGTATTGTCCGCGATCGTACGTGTCTTCCCAGATATGACGAGATACTTACTGCGTTGCTAAATGTGTCGCTTTGGAGAGAGTGAACCGACGCTGATGTGGCTGTGTTTTCTTTCTCGGCCTTGTGCAGGCACTCCGAGACCGGGACGCGGTTCCCCAAGCTGGGAGAATGTGCCCACTTCCACTACGACATGATGGACCTGGCCTCTGTCCAGGTGAGGCGCTCGTCGTTGCAGCAGGGCTGGCCCAGGCGCCATGCCTGGTGTGACTGGACACAGTGAAAAAACAGTTTCCCGACCGGTGACGCCGATAGGCTTGACTCGCTGATGTGACGTCACGTGAGGGCTATATCCTTGCCTGCATTTGGTAGCCTCCCTGTTGCCGTTTGTCATCGCAGTGTTGCGGCTTCGTGCCGTGTTCGCAGACGACCTTTAGCTGAGCGACGATGCGTGAACTTCGTTCGACTTGTGCGTTTAGCGCCCGATCCCGCCCATGCATCGAAAGTTTTTCCGAAGTGTTAACGAATGACGTCGCAGAAGCCGGCTTGTCCTGCTGTCGGATGTCGCGATCCTGGCAGTTTGTGCCAAATATGTACTGGCAGAAAGTGCGAGCTAACGCGGTTGTCCCCGTTGTCGCGGAGTCCCAACTCCTGTCTGCTGAAACTTTTGTAGACTGTGGGGCTGGAGAGCCTCCTGCAGCAGAGCAGACGTCTGTCGCGTATGCCACCGCTGCTTTGACACCGCCAGGATCGTGGCCGGCGACAGGCCACTTCTATGACGTCATCGGGCGGAAATTGAGGGACTATTTTTTTTGGACGCGGTCAACACCCGAGTAGGAGACGCGTTCCAGGCACCATAGTTGGGCGGTTGGGCGAGCTTGTCTCGTTTACAGCCGCCTTGTTACGTCACAGGAGCGTTTTTCCTAAACATGAAACACATGAGTGGTGAAACTGGGCACCGCGTGGCACTCGCCGCTCGCCTCTAGATGCACCGCACGCAGTGAATCTGGCCCTCTGAGGGAGATTTTGACAGTCTGGCAACCACAGTAGCGTAGTCTGACTACCGGGGAATGACTACTTCCGTCCGCCATTTTGAGGCTCTGACAATAAGAATTCGTTGCGTTTTTCGAGAATAAAGAAGAGGAATAAGTAACGCGATTTTGTGTTATCACAAAATCCGCTGGTTCTAGCGGGCAACAAGCTGCGCCCATTGGCCAAACCAAACTTTCGCTATAAACGGCTGCGACCGCGCGGTCTTTTCTCACCCGACCAGATCCGAGCTACGCGGCGCCGCGCGGGAGTGACGTAGGGATGCCAGCACCGGTTGCTATGGGTACTGCCGCATGGCGCCCGTTTTCGTCGCTCATGGGACCTCCGCTTTATGCTCTGCTACTTTTTGGACTTCAAACAGAGCTCCCTAAACTGGAACAGGCAACTTCACACTCTATGGCCATATTAATTGAGCATACTTTAGTATAGTGCTATGGATCACTATTTTTGTAGTGATTCTAAGAAAAGAGCTTTTCGTTTTTATTTGTTTTTGGTTTGTTATGCTATTAGGAAGCTTGAGGTAAAGAATCAAATGCCTCGAGTAACTCAATTCTGTTCTAAGCCTGCTTTTTTTTTTTTTGGCACTATAAAATTTTATTTATTGGATTTTCCGGGCTATTATTGCACCCGGTGTAGTCCGTAGGAGCATATTTTTGGTCAAAAATAGAAGTGTTTGCGCAGATAGTCGGCACCCGGTGCATAGTCCGTACGCCGGTTATAGGCCGCACCTGGTGCTTAGTCGACACGAAAATATTTTCATACACTGTGCACCTTGACAAATGTCTGTTCTTGTAACTCAGAAGAAGAAGCTTGTATCATACATCAGTCATCGTAACGTGCTCTTTCATTCACAAAATCCGTCACGTCTCGTCATAATGAAAGACCTTCAAAAACAAATTTCCTGTATAGTTGGCACGCGTAGATAGTTCGCACAGCCTAAATATTAAACTTTGGAACACGTGTAGTCCGCGGACTATAGCCCAGAAAACACGGTAATTATGGGCACATTGGTATAAAAGTTGGAAGTGTTTGGATACTGCCCCATGAGCAGTAAAAAAGTAATGCTAGGGCAGTCGTACGACCTTCATAAACAAACGCTATTGTTTTAACGCAGGTACGTTTTATTATGGAAGCAAAGCGGGTGTTAGTGGGACCGCGGAAAAGAATACAGAGGTTGAAACGGAAAGCAAAACGTTCAGGCTTTCCATGTTTGCTTTCTACTTGTCAGCGCACACACAAACACGAGACATCATTCAAAGCTGCGTCAGTTTGCGAAGAAGGACATCTATGTTGTTAACGCTGTATCGCTTGCTACTGTCGTTGCCGTCACTTGCGACACAGCCATAAGCGACGTGCAAACACGCGGTGATCTTTGACGTGCTCTCGGCGCGACTGACCTTGGCGATCTCCCCTCGTTCGTGGGTGACGTCTGTCATCGCGCAAGCGAGCGAAGCGAGTTTTGTGAAATTGCCTCTCGTTCCTTTGCTCGCTCGGCGTCAGGGCGCGACTGTGTATTTCGTCGTTCCACCGATGGAATGTTTCCGCGCTTGTTAGAGCGCGCTCGCATTCTCAGCGAGATTCCGTTGCCTCGCATCTGAACGTCGTGCGTTCTTCATCGTTCGTACCGGTTGAAGCTGGCCTTTCACCTGCCGCTCGGAGACAAGTGGATGATCGGAGGGAGTTTCGCCCAGCGTTCCTCAAGTTACCTCTTAGAGTTAACGAGGTTTATTCGACGGTGGAAAGCGGGATGTCCAAGAGGCTTGGTGATGCTGGATCCTTCAAAATAGCAGAGCGCAATAAGTTCTTAGGTTTTAAGTCGATTTTTCTTTCACCGAGATTTAGTTAGCTTACATAGGCGCAATTTCCAGCCAAATTGTAATCAGTGGACGTAACATACGGATTGCAGGCGCCGAACTACTCCGTTTTGCGCTGATTGTATAAATGACAGGCGAAAGACTGATTTGTAATTGAAATCGGCTTATTTTGTCAGCCATCCTTCGCTGTGGATGTTCAGGGGTCTTCGGACGTCGGAGCTGTGAGGGAAATCGATACAATGAAACCAAAAGTGCACCCAAAGCAAAAGAATAAAAAACAAAACAAAATAAAATCATCCGATTCTGTAGTGCATTCGTGTATGCAGCATTTTAGAGGGAATAAATTGATCCCTGGAGATTAGAGATTAGAGTTTTACCGGGGCGTAGCTTGGTGAATAATTGTTGGTAGCACATAGCACTGGCACTCAATTTTTCTCCCAATACTAAAAGTGAGAAGAAGAAAAAGAAAAGTGAAGTGGCGGGTCATCTAGCTCCTCTAGGAGGTCGAACTGCCTCCTCTCCTCTTAGGATATTTTTTTTTTTAGGGTCTCCTAATGAGTGCGCAAAATTAATGGACACGAGACGCGCTACTCCCCAGCGCGGATATACGCAATCACTTTCACGCCGAAGGCCGCTGGAAAAGAAGGAGCCTGCTGTAGCGAACGTGAACGCGCTGCTTCTGCAAGAGCGTGCGTCGAGCGTGCAAAGGGGTGTTGAGCGCTTTCGCAGGGTCGCTCAGGGTCGCTTGCCCCCCGATCATCCCCGGGAATTTGATCGAGAACTTGCGTACGCTGGGAGGAGCGAAGAATAGTGCTACTGTCGAGGCCCTTGATCGTAATTTTGAACTCTCCGAGATTAAACTTCACCGGTGAGCCGACGCTGAGCTTCTTAATTCATCGCAGCGTCGATTGTCTCGGTATTAAACGCCAAGCCGCAGTGAGGGGAAACAAAATGCAGGTGGTCGAAATAACAATTCGTTACTTCCAAATTCCGCTACAGTTTTTTTTTTTGCACCTGCCGCCTCGTTTGTTTCGGCGATCGTTGCGCTCTGTGTTCGCTGAAGCGAGTCTCCCCTTTGGGCCATTCAGGGGCCCGAGAAAACTGGCTTGCTGAAGCAGGGCTTCCCAGTGCTTTTGTTTTTTTTTTTCGAGGAAAGCGAGGACAAGAGAAAGAAGCGCGGCAATTAGAACGCCCGCGTTCCTTTGTTTTGTTCGTTTGGTTTCTCGCTTTGTTCGTCCGGCCGTTTTGTTGCGCGCGGTTGGCGCGAGCCTCCTCGCTGCCTTTTTAATTGCGCGTCCGCGAGAGCGGCAACGAACCTTGTTGCGTTTAAAAATAAAGGTGAAAACGCGTCCCAGCGTTATCGACAGCCTTGACCGGCGTGTTTGAAGATCGGCGCTGACCGTGACCGCGTCGTCGGCAGTCTCGCCTCTGTTGATCGTCTTGAGTGGGCAAACGCGTCTCGGCTCGGAGCGTGGAGCGAAGACTTGCACTTCAGAAGCTTCTGGGTTCGATTTCCACCCCTGCCCGTTTCGAGCTGGATGTGTTTTGTACCGGCACGCGTTCGTGTAATCACTACTGCGTGGTGCACGTTAAAGACTCCAGGTTATCGGTTGTACTGCACTGGCTACATTTCTCATATTCAGCTAAGAGACAAGTCACCCGTTTAAGCGCACTCATCAAGGCTCCCTAAACCAGGGTTGGACAAAATACTCGATAAAAGTATTTAAGTTACTAAATACCTGCTTCATAAAGTACTTAAAATACTACTCAAGTTACTTTCACTGTGAAGTATCGTGAGTAGAGTACAAATACTTAGAAATGTAATTCAGTTACCTTTGAAGTTACTTCCGCATTGCGTAATTTGTAACGGCGTCAGTGCAAACACAATTATACTGTTGCGCAAATCTGGTTTATCAGAATGGTTCATTAACGTACGTGCAACAGCGCAACACGAAAAAAAAAAAAAAAAAAAAAACGAAAAAACATCGTAGGGTTATTTTCCGCAGTCCAGCTGTAGCGAGCAGGATATCACTGATACATGTTTACAAAACATTTCTGGGATAAAAAAAAAAAAAAAAAAAAAGGTCGCTTCAGCTATAGTGACATTGCTGAATTCCTGCGGCGCACCGTAGAGGCATCGTTTAACTACAATCCATACTCTTTATATGGGGAGTTCACTATGGACGAACTTGGGATGAGGAAATGAGTGAATGGATAACAAAGAGAGGCCACGTAATAGCCACGGCAGTGGTCTCAGTTTCTTCAAGTAGGTTGTATTAAGAAAGGCACTCAACGTTGGGGGACGCTTTGTTGGCATTTTGAGAGATCATCCTGCTCGTGGTTCGTTTCCTTT